ACCCCCGTCCACAAACCTTGAACACGGTCGTCTTCTTTGGGGAAAGGTCTTCATTCTGAGACTCCATCACAGAGGTGTTCTGAAACCCAAGAGAGAGAAGCAGGGTGACGGAGTCAAAGCGGAGAAGAAATGGGAAAGAGGGAGGCGCTGTCGCAGCAGGAGGATGAGGTTGGGATGGGAGGGAGAAGGGGGAGGGGGGGGGGCTCTACATCTCAGACAACAGGCACAGACACAGGGCAGAGAGAGAGACTGGAGAGTGACGGACAGTCGCGTCGGCCTAGCCTGCAGGTGCGGAGCCAATGGCTCGCTCCCTTCCTCATCCCCCACCCTCTCTCCCCCTTCCTCTGGCACCCCCAGGTGGTCACCTCCAGTACCGCACCGCTCGAGACCCCACGCGCCCTCGGACACACCCGCGCACCGCGCAAGACGCACAACCCCTCTCTCTCTCGCTCGCAGCTCCGGCCGGCCGGGATCTGCAGCCCCGGGCGAGGAGGAGATCCGCCGCGGGGGTGGGGGGGTGGGGCACGACCTCTCACGATTCCGTGAGCTACGCCTGGAAAACCCGGTCACGTCGCCACCGAGCCAACGACATCGACGGCCACGCTCGAAACAGGGAGGACAAGAGGCAGAGGATGAGCTTCCTGCCTGGCGGGACACGCAACGCCAGCGCTAGCTGGATCAGGAGGACGAGCTGCTGTACGGCCTCATGGGAGCTCCAGCCTCGCACGCGATCCCAGGTGCCGCTCCCCGTGAGTTTCCCAGGATCCCCCCCTGTGTCTGGGTGGGTGGGTGTTGGGTGAAGGGGGGTGGGGGGGGTGGAAGGGAGAGAGCGGTCACAGAGCAGCACACAGACAGAAGCCGCAGGCAGACGGGCAGACGGACGGAGCCAGGCAGCAGGCACACATGCACACGAACACCCGGGCAGGCAGCCGCCTGCCTCCTACCGCACCACGGCGCCCCCTGGTGTCGGCCAGCCGCGGGGCTCTTCCTGTCGGGCTGGAGAGGAAGCGGGACGCTTCACTTCCACGTCTACTACCCCACGGGGGGGCGGGAGAGCTGCTGGTCTGGCCTGGGTACGACAGTCCTCAATCGACCAATTGAGGGGGGAAACGGGACGCCCCACCAGGATATGGATCAGCTCTGCCAAATTAAAACTATACTGAAGACACGGGGGGGGCAGGGGGGCAGAGGGCAGGTCTGATGCCCATTACTGCATCCCCACACATCTGTGCAAGCAGACTCTGAACAAGGCAGTGAGCTTTAGACCTCCAGCCCTTCTAAATCAAAGCCCTTGAGCTGGTGAACCCCGGAGTGGATCAGACTGCTGTGCACTGGGACCGAGGGTGCAACTGCCCGGCCAGGGGCTGGAGATTTCATTCTCCATCCCCTTTTCAACACTGACACAGGCAGTCGAGAAGCGCTCGCATTGACCAAACTTGCTTCTAGGCTTCCCTCAGTACAGTCTGCCCGGGAGCCCCGCGGCAGGCAATCCTGGCCACGCCCAGTGCGGCCCGGAGGCCCCGCCCACAGTGGGAGGAGCGGCTGCCAGCCCCACCCACGAGAGGAAGTAAGACGGGCACCTGGAGACCCGGGACACTGGGCATGCTCCGCAGGCACCTCAGTGCACACAAACTCTCTGCCACCGAGGAGCAACTCAACCAGAGAGAGCGGGGCACTGAGCACTGCGAGAGAGAGAGAGAGAGAGAGAGAGAAGGGGAGGGAGTGAGAAACAGCCATTAGGAGCCACAATCTCTCTCTCACCCACGCACACTGACCCACACACAGCACTGCCTCACACGCACGCCAAGCGCCGCCACGCACACCGAGACAGGGAAGAGAATCCGACAAATAGGGGAAGAAGTGGAAAGAGAGAGAGAGAGAGCTGGATAAAGTGAAGAGAGGAGGAGAGGGGGAGAGCAGGAGCACTGCTAGAATGAGCAGCGGACGAATTAGCTGGTGAAGCCAGAGAGCAAAGGCTACAGTCACGTGCTGTGCTCCAGAGTGGCAGAGGAAGGGGGCAAGTGGCCGGCTCTGTGCCCGCCGTGTCTCCCTCTCAAGCCCCCCGCCTCCCTAATCCCGCTCGGACCCCCCGCTCTCGCCCAGAGGCGCAGCTGCTCCGAAGCACAAGCCCACCCCGGCGCTGCTCAGACACGGCTCTCGGATCCCCCCCGCCCCCACGAGCGCCACAGACCCCCAGGCACAGGGCAAGTCCTGCCACAGCTGACCACAGCGAGGGAGCCCCCAGGAGCACGGCAACACTCCGCCCGGCCCCTGCTGGGGCCAGGGGCTGAGCCCAGCCTGTGTGCGAGACAACAGACCGGCAGTGCAGGGCAGTCTGATCCGCCAGACTCAGTCAGTCCAGTGTCATCTGTATAGCGCCTTTTACAATGGGCATTGTCACAAAGCAGCTTTACAGATTCCCGGGCCTGAACCCCAAGCGAGCAAGCCCAAGGCGATGGTGCCAAGGAAAAACTCCCTCAGACTAAAGTAGAAAGAGAAGGGGGAAAGGGGAGCCCATCCTCTTCCAGCTGGTACCAGGTTAAAGTAGAACAAACACATATGAGCGTCGTCTGCATTCTGTTACATGGTGGGAACAGCACAATCATGTATGGTACTGGCCAACAGTGTCCCGAATGTTCAACTGGTTTCCTTCAGATTTCTTGGGCAGGGCTTTGTAGAGGACCGGCTGTTGATTTTAGGACTGGTAAAGGGAGCTGGATTCTGGATCTAAGCCTCCTAACAGTCAACATCAGAATGGATGGATAGAAAAGAGATAACAGCAAAGTGGTAGTGAGACTGACAGTAGTGTAAAGCCTGGAGTGGATCAGACTGCTGTGCACTGGGA